GTTTCTTGATGACATGTCGTTTGTGACTGTTTTTGGCAGGACTTGAACTTGAAATTGCAAGAGGACATGCAGCATGCAGCGGATGCTTCTGCTTTGAAGCAAGCCGGGGCTGTAAAGACTTGTGCTGCCACTTGGTTTTGTTCAGTGCTTGTGTCCAACATGCAAAGCACATTAGCCTATCTGCCTCATATGAATATTTGTGTGTGTATATATATATATATACACATTCAACTATTCAAGATTTGCCACGAAATGTAGATTTCATGATTTCAAGTGTCAGGCTTACTGAGATGTAGCTTGACAGTTGCCATCCCAGTGTTAATAAGTCAGAGTCTTGTGCGTGAGTGTTCTCGCTTGTAGCAGATGCTGCGGTTCAAAGGGGCTGTGCTGTTTAAGGAGTTTCCTATGGAGACTTCAACAAAAGATCCATCGCAGCCAACGCATCAGGAGATCTCCACTTTCATTTTAAAGCACAAGCAAACCAGGTGGAGTATGCAGAACACAAAGATGTCAGGATCCAATAGGAACACCGGAGGGCAGGCAGGTGTCATTACAAGCACCCTGGCAATTGTCACAAGAAGTTCATGAATTCAGCTCTTGTCCTGGGGACATCTAGGGGAATCTAGCGGGGACTTGTCTCGGGTTTCTTGATGACATGTCGTTTGTGATTGTTTTTGGCAGGACTTGAGCTTGTTGAAATTGCAAGAGGACATGCAGCATGCAGCGGATGCTTCTGCTTTCAAGAAAGCCGGGGCTGTAAAGACTTGTGCTGCCACTTGGTTTTGTTCAGTGCTTTTGTCCAACATGCAAAGCACATTAGCCTATCTGCCTCATATGAATATGTGTGTGTATATATATATATCTATATACAGAATAATAGATACACATTATACACATTCAACTATTCAAGATTTGCCACGAAATGTAGATTTCATGATTTCAAGTGTCAGGCTTACTGAGATGTAGCTTGACAGTTGCCATCCGAGTGTTAATAAGTCTGAGTCTTGTGCGTGAGTGTTCTCGCTTGTAGCAGATGCTGCGGTTCAAAGTGGCTGTGCTGTTTAAGGAGTTTCCTATGGAGACTTCAACAAAAGATCCATCGCAGCCAACGCATCAGGAGATCTCCACTTTCATTTTAAAGCACAAGCAAACCAGGTGGAGTATGCAGAACACAAAGATGTCAGGATCCAATAGGAACACCGGAGGGCAGGCAGGTGTCATTACAAGCACCCTGGCAATTGTCACAAGAAGTTCATGAATTCAGCTCTTGTCCTGGGGACATCTAGGGGAATCTAGCGGGGACTTGTCTCGGGTTTCTTGATGACATGTCGTTTGTGATTGTTTTTGGCAGGACTTGAGCTTGTTGAAATTGCAAGAGGACATGCAGCATGCAGCGGAGGCTTCTTCTGTCGGGCAAGCTGGGGCTGCAGAGACTGATGCTGCCACTTGTTTTTGTTTAGTGCTTGTGTCCAACATGCAAAGCACTTGTGGCAGTTGACGCATTAGCTTATTTGCCTCATATGAATATGTATGTTAATATGTTTTTTTTTTTTTTTGTGGGCTTTGCACACCGGGGATGCCCGAAGGGTTGCTGTTGTTGCCCAGAGTGTCGCCCGCTTGCTCTGTTGTTGGTTGTTGGTTGTTGGTTGTTGGTTGTTGGTTGTTGTTTGTTGTTTGTTGTTTGTTGTTTGTTGTTTGTTGTTTGTTGTTTGTTGTTTGTTGTTTGTTGTTTGTTGTTTGTTGTTTGCTGTTTGCTGTTTGCTGTTTGTTGTTTGTTGTTTGTTGTTTGTTGTTTGTTGTTTGTTGTTTGTTGTTGTTGTTGTTGTTGTTGCTGTTGTTGTTGTTGTTGTTGTTGTTGTTACCCCTGCAGTTTTTTCTGAGTCTTGTAGTGACCAAAAAATTGTCAAATAGGTTGCGTTTTCACTTTTTTGTTGAGAGACTTGGAGAAAACACCGTAAATACCGATGTTTTTTCGCGCCTCGGAAGCCCAGCACCACCGTATTTACGATGTTTTTGCCTTTGGTAGCAAAATCACGGTATTTACACGTTTTTTTGGCTAATGCCCAGCAAAAACACTTCTGGTATTTACGCAGTTTTCATCATGTTGCAAGAAGTACTTTTTCCATGCCCAAGGCACAAAAACACTGTAAATTACAGTGTTATGGCCTTTGGCACCCACCAAAAAACCAACAAAATCCACCAAAAAGTGCCCAAAATGGCAAAACATGCTTGGACTGAAAAGGGTTGCCCTCGCAAAAGTAGTTTGCTTATCATAGAGACTCGCTCCCCATGCTGATGGCTGGGGTCGGCCGATATTTTGATTTGTCTATACATGGCCACGAAATGTAGATTTCATGATTTCAAGTGTCAGGCTTACTGAGATGTAGCTTGACAGTTGCCATCCGAGTGTTAATAAGTCTGAGTCTTGTGCGTGAGTGTTCTCGCTTGTAGCAGATGCTGCGGTTCAAAGTGGCTGTGCTGTTTAAGGAGTTTCCTATGGAGACTTCAACAAAAGATCCATCGCAGCCAACGCATCAGGAGATCTCCACTTTCATTTTAAAGCACAAGCAAACCAGGTGGAGTATGCAGAACACAAAGATGTCAGGATCCAATAGGAACACCGGAGGGCAGGCAGGTGTCATTACAAGCACCCTGGCAATTGTCACAAGAAGTTCATGAATTCAGCTCTTGTCCTGGGGCTGGGGACATCTAGGGGAATCTAGCGGGGACTTGTCTCGGGTTTCTTGATGACATGTCGTTTGCGACTGTTTTTGGCAGGACTTGAACTTGAAATTGCAAGAGGACATGCAGCATGCAGCGGATGCTTCTGCTTTGAAGCAAGCCGGGGCTGTAAAGACTTGTGCTGCCACTTGGTTTTGTTCAGTGCTTGTGCCCAACATGCGAACCACTTGTGGCACTTTATATATGTATATATAATTATATATATATATCATATATCATATATATATACATTTTCATATGGTATATGAATGTATTCAGCATTTGCCATGAAAATCAAAAGTCAAGCTTGCTCAATGTACCTGGACCTGGACATTGTGCCTTCTAGCCTTTCTGTGGATCGGATGTGTTGAGCGATCTATCCTTTTCCATGAGGTTGGATTTGTTGGGCAGGAGCATGCTGGCCCGTTGATCCATGAGAAGGATCTGCGGTAGGTTGAACTTGCCTCAATAGTTATGTCCAAATTCAAACTCAGCAAAACGTAGCCGAACTAGTCCCTGTTTAAGCATGCAAACACGTGCACAAACACAGTTTTTGGACTTTAGTAGTGTCCGGTTTGCGCAGCGTCATTGCATGCTACTTGTATGTACTTTATGGTTGCGCTTGTGGGTGGGTGGGCTCCAAACCAAAGTCCTTTGGTTACCCTTGGAACAAATTCAGCTTGATGGAAGTGTAAAGTTCTGATGTGAAGTGCCCACATTTAATTAGGCGCTCTTTTCCTAAAGTGCCGAAACATCTATCCGTTGCATCTTTGGACTCTAGAACTTTCATTTCGTATGACACAAGGTGCTCTGAAAAAAATCGAGTCCAGGATCCTAAAAGGTGGAGACTTTGAGGTGGAGAGGGGCCACATTCCTGTTGCGACAGGAGCCCTTGGAAGCAGATTGGCACATGGCAGAGGACTTCTGAGATCCCAGGGCAGTTAACACATGCTCCAATCGTATCAATAGTTGTCAGGGCTGGTTTTGCTATCATTGGAAGATGCACACCTGTAGAACAGGATGACCAGATTCAATTGAGAAGCTTTCCCAGCGTGGAACATTTCTTTTCTTACCCTCATTGTCAAATCCAGACAGCATGATTTGCAGTCGGGCAATTTGACATAGCCAAAAAGTGCACGACAGCACTTTCGTTCCTTTCGCACGTCCTCTCGATAGTCTGCTTCACCACTTTTTTTGGGATCCCATACGATTCACCTAAACAAACCCAGTGAGTCTCAGAGATCAGTTGTAGAGCTGCTATCAAAGGATTGTTGAGGGCAAGCCCCAAAAGGGAGCCCGACGCACTTGCAGGATCCTGATGTGTCAGAGAACGAGACGTCGCAGAAGGCAAGTTGTATGGGCACTGCTTGAAAAGGCATACGATCCAATTCAAAGCAGAGGAACTGACATTGTGCCCACTTTTTGCCACAGTCGATTGCTTACTGAAAGTACTGGTCCCAGGATAATTTTCGTTGCTAGGTGCAACTCATCATCGCCGATGAGACTTCCCTTGCAAAGCAAGTCACAGCGCCAGGAAGAATAATTATGTAGGTGAGTTATAGGTGAGGTGTAGGTGAGTTATAGGTGAGTTCTACGTATATATATATATGTATACTGTATAGAGTAAGTGAGATGGCACCATTTCGCAACTTCCGAGCCATGTCTCGGGTTTTGTGCCTCTGCTGCAGAGCTCGCTACCTGCTGCACAGCCCTCACCTGTTCGGTGGCCCCAGCACAAGCAGCAGCAAGGTTTCTCCTCTTGTTTCAATGTGTCAATCAATACTGAAATGATATATATATATGATATGATATGATATTACATTATATAATATAATATAATATAATATTATATTACATGACAATATATTATATTTATATTATATTACATTTATATTATATTATATTATATCTATATTATATTATATTATATTGTATTATACTATATAACATATTATATTATAATATAATACAATATAATATTATATTATATCATATTATATCATATCATATTATATTATTATATAATATTATATTATTATATCATATCATATTATATCATATCATATTATATTATATAATAAATACGGATAATCTATCTTTATTGGTCATACTGAAGCATGGCTCACAGTTGTTCAACAGACCGCAGCATCACGACCACTTTTTTCAAGGTAGGAGTGGGGCCTGGGAAAAGTGAGCTATTTCGGCTCAGAGCGGCTCAGAGGTTCCAATCCTTCGGACAATTCCTTCAATAATTTTCTCGGCAAGCTAGCGCTGCCACGATGATCCATGCTGCAAGAGGGTTGAGCCGCAAACCGACCTCCAGCGACGAGAGCACCACCGAATCACTGCTTTTTGCTTTAGTTGTCCGTTTTTTTTTTTTTTCCAAGGGTTTGGCAGCGATGAGGCGGTTTGTTTGGCTTGTGGTTTTTCAATGTTCCTTTCTGTTCCTTTCCGTTCCTTTCTGTTCCTTCTGTTCCTCCATTTGTTTGAGCCTTCTGTTGTTTTCAAGCCCCGCTGCGCCAGGCAGAGAACAGTGATGTGGACACTCCTGGAACCTGCTTGGAGGAGTCTCCTGTCTGGGTCTCTGGTACAACAGCTCCCACCGGGGAGGCCGAGCCAAACATCGTGGTCAGGAGCGGATCTCAGCTTTACATAGTTGGCACATGTTGGCACATTGTGAAGGCCAAAAGGGATAAAGGATTGCTGTGAAAGCCAAAAGCACATGGAAAGGACATCAAGGACTGCAGGTTTGACAACACATTTCATGACATCTTCAATAAGATACAGCGGAGTTTTTTTGGCAAGATAGGAGCACCTTCCTGGACATCAACGAGGGTGGCCTGATGCAGCAGTACAGAAAGCTTCGTCGCACCGTGTCAGATAGTTGCACCTTGATTCAAAAGTGATTCATTGGAGACCACGGAGGTGCCACAAAGGTAATTACGGTGATCATTCCATTCAGATCAGTAAGCGGTCAGCAACTATGCTTAGTGAGATGGTCATTCAAGCACCACTATCCCAAGTGCGGCTCATGATGCTAATGCTGCCTGTCAGAGAGGTTTGGATGGAGTGCACCAGCAAGTGTACGTGCCCGGCCACTCGGTCTGCATCATGAAGGCATGTTGAAGTTTGAATTTCCACAGACATTTGGAACGTACTAGACAGAGATGATCAAGGACTCCTTTTTCTATGTCTGCTGAAGACAGTACCGAAAGTCCGAAAGTTCGCCAGGCAGTCTCTACCATGTCTGCATGACAAGTCAAATTGGCAACTCCAGTGGTCGCTATGATGATAAATACTAGGATTTTGACAAGGCATGCTGTATACTTTGTAGAATGCTGAACCCTTTACAGGACTCGGTCTCATTCGATATTATCAAGGGCCAGGGGACCCATCTGAAGCGGAACATGATGTTCTTTTTCTGCGTGCGTATCTCAGAGGTGCTTGTGCTATTTGGCCGCTACAGATGATGCTGAAAGACAGAACATCAAATGTACATTCCAGAACAGGGACAATTCACCTGGTCTCCCTACAACCAACCCAGTGAGTCTCTGCAAAGAGCAGCTTGAGGCGAGTACAGCAAGAAGCGAGCGGCGCAACGTGCACCAACTGGGTCTTGTGCAAAGCCAAGAAGCAGCCTACGCGTTACCAAGGCAACTGGAGGTGGCACGGTGACCCAACAGCACTGGATCCCTGGGTTCTGCAAAGCTTGGAACAAAGCATGGAAAGGGTGGTTCTCGAGATTTGCAGAAAAAAATAAGAACCACATTGTCACATAACCACATTCTGAAACGAAAGTTAAGGCATCCTTATCCTTGGTGCTTCTTGCGTTTATATCTTGGAAAAGCATCATCTTTCCATGGTACTGGATCCAGTGAAGGTGAAGATCCAGCTCGTTTCACCCTTTTTCCCAACAGCGCTGCTTTTGCAACCCTAATGTCCCTAGAATCACTCCACATCTTTATTTTTTTTCTTTCCCAGGTGATGTTGAGGAACTTGCCAAACAACTACACTCGGGAGATGCTCCTGGCCTTGTTGGACAAACACGGCCTAGGCAGGTTGCACTACTGTTGATACAAGGTAGACATCTCGGAGTTATTTTCCCGGCAAATATATCTCCATTTTTGATGTCTTGTGCTGTTTTACTGCTGTTCTGTTACGACCACTGTTCAGCAAATGGACGATATAGCCTGGGTACGAAGGTGGGTGCTATGACTTTGTGTATTTGCCCTGCGACTTCAAGCGAGATGCGAATCTGGGCTATGCATTCGTCAACTTGGTGGACACTGAGGCTTGATGGGCCCGAATCGGCGGGAGGCTCACAAAATCTCACAAACCACTGGAGATCTGTTGAGATACGACTGGCCCTAAATCCAGACAGTTCATGCATGTGTCATGCGTCCACTGTCAATATTTACCTATCAGCTTTCCATGAAGTTGAGAGCATTTCTCTAATCTGTTTCGGTGCTTTCACCTGTTGCGGCTGCGGGTGTTTCTTGTATTTTCTTGTCGAGGCAGTGCAGTCCTTGTGGAAGACCTTTGATGGTTTCTCTGGCTGGAGCCTGCCCAGCTCCAAGACCTGTCAAGTGAAATGGAGCGGACCTTTGCAGGGTCGCTTGGCGCTCCTGGAAGAGTAACCCATGTGGAACCACCAGGGCATGGGTCGAGTGAAACAGGCGCAACATATCAATGATACGAAGACAACGTCTGACAATGTCATCCATATCAATGGATATCATTGCATCTCATGGACTGATGGACATAGAATTGTCAAAACCTTCCACGCAAATCATTGGACATTGAATGACATCGACACCTTACGTTGAAAGCCCAGGTTTTGACGCTCATGTTCAACGGTAACTTGGCACAGACAAAGCATGTGAATGGTGCGAGGGCAAGCCTACTAAAGCTTAACAAGAAACAAACAGAAATAAACAAATTTGAGCAATGGTGCCGATCGCCACCTGTCAAGTGAGTAGGAATTTACACATGGCATCATTGGATTGCTTTGGAAGTAATAGCTGCCATGATGAGATGTTGGATCTGTCGGGCACGTTTTGCTTAGTATCAAGTTCGATTGAAACCTTGGGACACACATGAGCCATATCGCGTCCACAAAAGCGCCACTGTGAGTGGCAGCCCAACTGAGAAAGTCCATCATGCTGAGGTACAGAAACAGCCCAGTCATGCACAAGAAGCTTGGAATCAAGCAGCAAAGCACAGTGAAGCAAGTAATTCAACTGACGTTTCAAAGCTGTAAAATGTAATAAAGGTAAACCAGTTTGAACATATTTTCTTGTATGCTTCCAAGTTGGGAATTTTCGAATCTGTGGTGTATTTGACTAGGCGCTCCACATTTCCATGGTGTCAAGCATCCCTCCTTTCACATTTTATCCGTTGACAGCCTTAGATTGTAGAGTAGATTCTTCAATAACTTCCAGGTGCAATCGACAGACAATCATACAACCTGACCTAATACTCAACCGACCTGTCCCGAATTGGTGATACTTGTTTGGTATATTGTTTCAAACTCAAAGATCCTGATCCTGGTGCTGCACCTAATCCATTCAGATGATTCAGAGCCACTTTCTTTTTGCAGTGTAGGTTTGACCCCTGCCAAATGTTTGGTCTGTGAATGCTTGTGATGTCTTGTTTTCTGAAGCCTAGGAGCGTGCCCGAGAAGTACAAGCCGGTGATTTTCAAGCATGGCCAACCCGTTCCATTCCCAGAGCCGAACCGGAAGGTCAAGGCCCCGACGATGTGAGCGGTTGGCGATCCGATGACGGAGAATTTGACTCCACCAGAGAGATGCAGTTTCGACTTCACAACCCGTGATCTCGTGTGGCCAATCCCAGTCCTTCACGGAGATTGGGGTCAGGCTAGAAATTATGTTACAATTATGATCGTCACCCGTTATGTTAAAATCTGTTAGAATTATATGTTCATGATTCATGATTCATTAGTTGATGATTATATACAGTAGTTGTAGTGTGCAGAGGAAAAACTGGACTTGGCCGCTGGAGATCCGGGATAGTTCGACCTTTAAAAGGCTATCGGTCAAAACCGAAAGCCAAGGCCTATACAGTATAGATGCGAAGCCGTCGAGCACAGCGGCAGGGGCAAGGTGTTCGTCCCATTTGATTTGGCTAGTTCAGTGAATGTTGAAGCCAATGAAACGAAAAATTGACCTTAATGAGATGCGAATTTCAAGTAAATGTCTGGAGTTTGGCCTTCCGGGAATGCAAACATTTTTCCCTTCCATGGAAGCTGCCCCGCTGTTGCAAACGCGGGTGGCAAGGCATCCGAGTGGCTGGGACGGGGGCTTCCAATTTTTCCCTCAAACAACAGAGGCGTTATTCAAGGGTTTGGACCGTTTGGAATTGGGAAATATCTAATTTTTGGGATTGATAATGCAGAAAACATCCCCTTGAAACGATTTTGGTAGTGATTCCCCGAACATGGCACCACCTGTTTAGTTCGGATGAGGACCCACATGTCCTGATTCTAAATGTATACCAGAAATCCAGAAGTTTTTGTAGCTCTGACCCGATTTTGCTGCTTCTAGGTTGAGCAAAGCTTGCCGCAACCCTCCACACAGAGAAGAAATGCACAAGATATGGTTGCCCCCTCGGCATAGCATTGGATGCGGCCTTGTAGCGTCCGAAATCCCGACCTTCTACAGCGCACACTGACCAGCCGGCCAAACCGCCGTGCCTCCTCTTAGTTTCTGCCAGCTGGAAAGAAATGTGTTTTAGTAAAAACTAGAGAAGTTGTAACTTGAAGTTGAACACTTGGAATTGCCTCCATTTTTATCTCGAACAGCCATGCACCAGTGCGAAAGTAAGAGGAGGTCCCCCCCGGTCCGTGGGCCCTTTTCAACTTCAGCAGGCATCCAGAAGTTGGTTCTGGACTTGTTCTTGCACTTTCTTGCTTACCTTCATATCTTGATTCTTCTCATGTGTTTTTTTAATTACCAATGTTGAGTTGATTTACCTTTATCCTTCTGATGCTGCTTTGATCTAGTTGCCGATGTTGATGAATATTGTAGAACTTCCATTCAACTCCAAGGACTGGCATTTGTTGCATTCTTGCAATCATATGTCGCACTGCTAGCAATACCATCACTAGTGATGAGGTGAAACGTACATGACTTGGAATACCTGCGCCACTTCTACAGTTGAGGTCATCTTGAGGCAATGGTGCGACACGGCTAGCAGTTTTCACATTTGATGACCACCACCAGCGCCTAGCCCTTTGTGTTTAGTCCTTGTTGCCAGAACAAAAGCCTGGTGAACAGCTGCAACAATTGACTCTGATTCTTCTCCGACTCCGATAGCTCTTCAGCGCACAGCGCTGAAATCTTCAGGTGAGGGCAGGGAGGGAAAAAGGTACGAAACTGGACTTGGAGCCTTGGGACCGGCAGATTGACATGGATGAAACATGGATGAAGTGGATGAGTCCCAAGTCCCAAGGACATCCTGTCATAGATTCAGTCATGAGTAGAAAAGGCCGGAAAGAAAACCGGGAGATTGGCTCCGTCTTCATGGTTACTTGAACGTGTTTCTTTGAAATAGAAGATTGGATTGGGGAATGAAATGGAGCTCATTGCCAGCAATCCAAAAGGAAGAAGGGATGACGTTAGCACTCAGCATGCTTTTTTGCATCGATTGCTGGATGCTTGTCACCAGCGGGCCACCTTTGCCGCTCAGCCTCTAGTGTACAACGCGCTCGGCCTGCCGTGCCGACGGGTTTCTTCCACCCGCAACCCTTTCGACCAAGCCAACCATGCTGTGCGTTCCAGAAGTGAAGAAGGCCTTTGAACCTTGACAGATTTGTTTGTTTCGCCGAATTGTTTCGCACTACCTATGCAGCTTTGGCGTGCAGTTTGTGTTCAAAGCAGTACTCAAGAAGACCCTTTTTGCTTTGTGAGGACCAGACAAAGCGCTTTGTAAAACTTGTGACAAATATTTGCCAAGTGGAGCAGAGTCTTCCACAACTTCACACATGCTTTAGACTTTTGATTGGATGTTGCACAAGCACAGAAGGCATGAGTAGTGCAGAAAAATGCATATGTTGTGTATTGGACATAATTTTGGACATCTGGTGGGCATGTAATGGTAGTCTTGGGACCTGCAGCCGCTGTTTGGAAACAGTTTGCGCTGCCAACTTGTCCTGCACAATGTGGTCCATGTGATGCCATTTCCGATTTATGATGGAACGCATTTCATGGACACAGAGATCACAAAAAAACACGATTCTGCTGCTCCAATTTGTCAGGTTGTCAACTTTATTTCATTTTTGAAACACTCTAAGCTAATTATAGTGTCAACCAATCTCATGGATTCTTTTTGAAGGATACGTGTGTGCAACGAGAAATTGGATCCGAGTTGCCGTTGGGCCAAGTCCAAGGATACAATGAGCAGTTCGGCCAGCACAGCTGCGGGTGATTTAAGTGTCTTGGCTCCAGCACGGTCGCCTGGAAGTGTGTAGTCGTCTAGAAATCCTCACCCCATGGAATTCTACCAGACCTATGTAGATCATCGTAATTCCGGTTCCGGCCCGGGACCTACGAATCCAACGACTGTTCGGGGGACCCTGACAAAGGTGACGTGGAAACTTTGAGTCCTGCGGGCAACAGCACCTTTGGAGCGGATGAATCATGGCTTGTCGACCATTCACCACAGGCAGATGCTGCCAGTTTCTCCCACAGACTGCGAGCATTGTGAAACATTGTCAAATGTGGAAGCTTGCATAAGTTTCCAGGAGACTGCTAGACGGACTCTTTTTTGGTTTGCAGAAGTCTATATATTCGAATGGACCGCTTTCCTGGACGGATCCACCCTTGAATCGGTTCCATGGCCCGCGACCAGCATCCCTTTAGGTGGTGGTGAGGAGCACTTTCTTGGATGTGGAGGAGCAGATGCCTGCACTGCGTCAAGCAAATCATGGCTGAATTCAGAATCCCCCAGTGTCTGGAAGTGAAACTGAAGCAGAAAGATATTTCACAAGCAGCAATCCATGTCAACCAAACCTGGACTAGACATGTGGATGGATTTCCTGGCGGAAAAAGCTCCTGTGGGATCTTCAGAGCTGGTTGGCCCCTGTTGGCAGCGTCACTTGAGCGTTAGTGATTTGGGGTCTCTGAGGACTCAGGCGACTCAGGGTTTCGGAGTCCGATCCGCTTCCCACCATTGTTTCGGCTCAGATTCCAAGCCCTGCCCGGTAAAGGCCATGCCACGATGGGGCAGGAAGACCGATATCCGACACTCTGTCAAGCTGGGTAGCGGTACAGTCTCAACTCCCTGAAACACTGGGCCAACTGTGATGATTCTGGGTAAAGGCAAACGCTTTGCAATGCTTGTGTTGCTGGTAAGGTTTGAGGCTTCCCTTTCCTTTATGTGTGAAGCAGTATCATAGCTTTGGGTGCATCACTTCTTTCACGACATGATCACAGCTTCCCAGGTCATCCATGTTGGAAAGCTGGCAAACCCTTCAGCAGTTGTTGTCCATGGTTTTGAAAATTTGGGAGCCATTTCAAGCTAGCTGTACTGTAGCTGAGTCCCATTCGTTTTGGTGGCAAAGAATTCCAACTCTGTAGGATCTTGAGCCAGTCATCATGGTTTACCACAGGGTACCTACAAATCTACTACTGTAGTAGAATGCAAACATTTGATAAAGCAGTCAACAGACCATCTAGCATGAGGCCCTTGTATGCGTTATGCAGATATCAGAAATTCTCCGCGGAGTGGTTGCTTAGACTGAAGGTGCAATGCATAGCATGCAAAGAGTGTGTATCAGCCAGCACCGAACTGAGATCTCTGCAAGATGCTGTATGCACCCAGGATATGATGCCTCAGACGCAGCTTCATCATCATTCCCTGGTGGGACGAATGAGGAAGGCTGGGCCTACAGTGTGGCTTTGTCTTTGAAAAAGAGGATTTCAAGATTTCTGCAAAGAACTGTATGGAAATGTATGGAACAAAGCTGTGGAACCGGAAAGAATGAACTTCTGAGTGTTCGCTGCGTCAGATACAGTCATTGCAACAACGGTGCGACGGGAGCGCCTGGTGCCATTGCGGCTGGCACAGTCGATCACTGGGCAGCTGCATGGACACAGCATCTCGCTCCGCTCGGGGTCACTCGTTCCCATCGGTTCGAAGTGTTTGACGTGCACAGTTTTTCCCAAAAGACAGTTATATCAATGTATGCTCATAGAAAAAAGAGTAATTCAGGTCTGCACTTGGACCGCCAACTTGCTGTTGAGTATGACCCAGGTATGCCTCAGAGATGGATATTGCTAGAGGCACTGGCAAGCCTGAAGCATGGCCCTCCAGGGTGGGTGGCAACCCCTTCGATGGCACTTTTACTGCGCTGTCGCCTGAAGACGTACAGCGTTTAATCCTGAGTTTGGAAAAGTCTGTTGGTCCACAAGGACCCGTTCCACGAGTTTCCAGAAGCAGTTGATTCCAGACATTTCCAGACGTCTTTGCATGTCAATGATTTGCTTTTCACAGTAAGCACAGGAATTCACCACGCCTTGTCCACTTGTAGAACCATTGTTGTCGGTATTCCTTCCATGTCAAGGTCCTTGACCACAAGTGGTAAGGAATCTCCGGAAAAAGAGGGGCTTACAATTGGGCCAGTGCATAATTCCATTTTTGGAAGGAAGTTTAGAAGTCAAACTTCCGAGAATATGGGCAGATGAAGCAGCAGAGGTGGGAAGAGAAGAGAAGAAGAAAGAAGATCAGAGAAGAGAAAGAGTCAGAAAAAAGAAGATGAAAGTGCGCGAAAAGGTAGAAAAGTGGCGAAACACTGTGTTTTTCCAATAGTTTGCTAAAGCGGCGGGTGCGGAGCCATCTGGGCAGATGGGAGATGAAAAATAGTGGGCTGTTGTGGCGCGAAGCCCCCATCGCTGCTACGCATGAAACTGCACCAGAGGCAAGAATGTTTTTCATTCTGTTTCCAAAGTTATTGCCACGCTGCTTTGGTTATGGTGAAATAATGGGTTGTACCCCCTATTAATAAAGTAGAATGGTGCCTGGAGGTTTTTTATTAGGGTCCCATCTCACAAGTGTTATTTTTCATTTTTGCTATTAGGGCTTTCATTGCAAGAATATTAGGGGAAAGCTTCGAAATCCAGTTTTTGGCCTTTGGCAATATTTGGAATAAATTTTAACCAGGGATTTAATCAAATTCGAAATCAAGTTTTTTATTTCTATTGTTAAAGTTTTTATTGGAAGATTAGGGGAAAGTTTCGAAATCCAGTTTTTGGCAGTATTTTAAATAGATTTTAAACATGGATTTAATCAAAATTGAAATCGAGTTTCTTTATTTGAAATATTAGGGTTTTCATTGGAATATTAGGGGCACCCTAATACAAAATACCCTTTTACAATAAAAATAGATCAACGTGTTTACCATTTGGGGTGGTTTTAGTATTAGGGAACAGAGATTACTTTAGACAGATGGAGTGGAAAAATCGCAAAACACAGTGGTACGACATTATGAGGCCGTCAGCTTAGCACTCAACTTCTCATTTTTGATTGCTTGGTTTTTGGCGTTGTCAAGTTCAATCCCCGCCGTCACAAAAATACTGTCATACCTGTCTGCCATGGTTCTGACATATATGCAGACATTCTTTCTGAACTGGCGCATCTTTCTGGCATATCCTTCTGGCAGGGAAGAGGGGAGAGGACATTTCTTGCGGCCCACTGAAATCTGGAGCTCGCAGTTCTATCTGGCATATCTTCTGACATTCTCTCTGGCATTCTACCTGGCATATCTTCTGATCTTTTTTCTGGCATACACTCTGACATCCTATCTGACTTCTTTCTGGCATTCTATCTTCTCTTCTGACATTCTTCCTGGCATTCTGGCATATCTTCTGACATTCTTTCTTGCATTCTATCTGGCATCTTTTCAGGCATTCATTCTCGGATTCTATCTGGCACATATTCTGACATTCTATTCTCTGGCAATCTCTCTGGCATGTGTTCGGGTCCAGGGCCACACCCTCCGGAGCGCGGGATGTGGAACCGGATCCACACTCCCAGGTCGGGGCCACTCCTAAGCTCGCGGTGTGGCACCGCGTCCAGGGCCACTTCACAGCCTGAGCTGGCAGTTGAGGGAAGGAGAAGGAGAAGGACAAGGAGGAGAAGGAGAAGGAGAAGGAGAAGGGGAAGGAGCAAGTAACTCTGATAAAACCTAGCGACCTTCACCTGGCAGGTGGGAAATCAGGAAGTCTCGCAGAATTCGTCTTTTCAATACTGTGCACTTTTATTTTTAGAAGACGCCTCGCAGAATTGCCTCGTTTTGGGCCTGTCAACTTCCACTTTGAAAGGAAGTCTCGCAGAATTGCTTCGCTTCAGATAGATAGACAGATAGATAGACGGATAGATGGTCAGATAGACAGATAGACAGATAGCTGGATGGATAGACAATGAATAGATAAATAAGATGATCGATAGACAGATAAGATAGACAGATAAGATAGACAGATAAGATAGACAGATAAGATAGACAGATAAGATAGACAGAGAAGATAGATGGATTGATGGATGGGTGGATGGATGGATAGATGGATGGATAGAAAAACATATAGAGAGATAGAGAGATAGAGGGATTGAGAGAGAGAGAGAGAATATCGGAGCCTCCACCACCTTTCGATTCATTGGTTCGCCAGGCCATCCATGCGTCGCAACAACCGAACTCTCCTATAGGTTTCGTACCTTTGAAACTTCCGCCACCGCCTTGTGCGGTATTACTGGTAGGGAGGAATGACCACGGGAATGTAGTGGACGCTAGCGCTGTTTCCTTGTGTCTTGTCCTGGGACGATACCCTTCAACACCCTTGCCAGTTGTTTTGTCAATGGCCATTTGAGGATCCTAAATTGAGGGTACCTACCATATATAAGGCCTATGTAAGGCCTATGTAAGGGAATATCCCCAGAAAATATGGCCTTATATGGTACAGTACCTCCAGTTTAGGATCCTGAATTTGCCATTGATTTTGCGGAGGAATGCGCAAAGCAGCGCGAGATCAGCATGCTAAAAGGCAACCCATTGCATGTGGGGTGCAAATGATCAGTGGACATTCATGCAGCTACGCCTGTCGATACTGCTACATTCAAGACTGGTATCCTTTTGTTGAGCCCACACCAACCGAGCTGTCAGGCAATGAGGTGCTTCTGTCTTTGCTGTACAATCCGAATTGGATACCCTCTCGGGACTTTATTATCCTTGGGGACGTATGTGATCCATTTCACCCCAACTTGGAAGTTCGGAGCATGGAATACATCAAAGCAGCTGCTGTACTTGGAAGTCCGATCCAATTTTCAACCAAGTCTGCCATCAGCAAAACTGTTTGCCAGCAACTGGCTGAGTGGTCAGTCACCTATGGCTGTGCAATCAATGCGCTTGTGACAATCACCACCATGAAACATGCTGAAGATCTTGAACCCTCAGCGCCATCCGTGGAAACGCGGCTGGAGACAATCCGCAACCTTTCAGCAGCTGGACTTTCGGTCTTCATTTTCATGCGACCCCTTCTGCCAGGACGGGGTTGGTCTTGCTGCCAGCACGGTTTCACCGTGCCCTGCCTCCACGAAACTTTACTAGCATAAAGGAGATGTCATTGAAAGCAGATGAAAACACATGAATCTCCATTGCAAATCTCAACATTTTCGAAGTTCCAACCACCAAATCATATGAACATTTGAAAGCAGATCGAACTCCTTTAAACTCCCCCAGTTGTGGAGGAAGTTGCGACTATGAAGACGTTTTGAGAGCTGCCAGGGATGCTGGAGCTGAAGGCGTGGTCGTGGGCTCCCTACGGGTGTCCAGGAAAATCTACAGAGCCTCAGGCTTCAGGGAAAAGATTCAGCATCAGTTGAACTCAGTTGAACTCAGCTGAATTCTATCAAAAAGACTTAGGGGATGGGTTCCTGTATTTTGCTCAATTTCTTTTTGGATGTTCTTTATGTTTCTTTTTCTGGAAGAGTGTGATTGTGGCCACCAAGTGTATAGCTTCCCGCTTAAGGGTCAATCATTGTGGATCCACGTTTTCAATCCTCCGATTCCTTTCCCATTTTTTTCCCAGAGTTTCAAGTCGGCCTCTCTATACGACAGATACTGAAAGTTCTATCATACTCTTTCCCAATCTTTCCGTCTCAGGACGGCTGAAGCAGTCCAAGACTGTGGACATCGAGGCCATTGACTCCCAACTGCGTTCCATTGACCAGTCGCCTGACAAGCTTGGGGAGAACCAGGCCGAGTGATTGGGGCAGGGATGAGATGCTGTCATGATTGGGAAAACCAAAGACCCAAAGATCTATCAGTTGGATTGGTACATTATGAATGGCGATGAAAGCTGGAACTTTTTCCTCGGAGAGTCGCAAACTTTGCTAGAAGATAGACTCCCTCTGGTCAAAATAGATGAATATATATATATATATATAATATGCACATACACACACACACAACACATGTATATATGTATATAGATGTATATATGTATATAGATGTATATGTATATGTATATGTGTATGTATATATGTATATATGTATATATGTATATATGTATATATGTATATATGTATATATGTATATATGTATATATGTATATATGTATATATGTATATATGCATATATGCATATATGCATATATGTATATATGGATATATGGATATATGTATATATGTATATATGTATATATGTATATATGTATATATGTATATATGTATATATGTATATATGTATATATGTATATATGTATATATGGATATATGGATATATGTATATATGTATATATGTATATATGTATATATGTATATATGTATATATGTATATGTGTATATATGTATATATGTATACTGTATATGTATATATGGATATATGGATATATGTATATATGTATATATGGATATATGTATATATGTATATATGTATATATGTATATATGTATATATGTGTATATGCATATGTATATGTACATGCATATGTATATGTATATGTATATGTACATGTATATGTATATGTATATGTATGTATGTATCTCTATCTATGTATTGTCTGAGCTGAGGTGTACCAATTGAGTTTGCTTGCGAACCCCCAAACAAGAAGGACTCACAAAGATTCAGCAATGCTCAGGTGGACATTCAAGATGAGGGCCTGCGACAAGATACTTGGCTGATCCGATTCAGCGTTTTATGTTGTCTTCAGACAGACGAAAGGTATGCTGAAGACATGATGTCTTTGTCAGTTTTTGTTCGGGTTTTTGCTCATCATTAGGGGATGAAACTACAAAGTATTTCAAAGCAGCAGAGGCCGTCAGTGCGTATGCTGAGAGCCTGAAAATGGTGGTGGTGCGACGGGCGTGCTGCGCCAATGCTGTTGGATCCCAATTGCCTTGCCGAAAGCCCAAATGAAACTTGTCAGACAAATGAACACAGCCAGCCCCAGTTTTTTCTTCAGGCCCCTGACCCTACTGAAATATTAGTTTTTCATCAAACCCATTCGACCATATTGGACCTTGTTGTGAGGCTTTGTGGCTACCCAGGTCTGGCACGTTCTCTGATCCCTTGGTGATGTGCTTTGACACAGCAGATCTGAGAACATGGATCCGCATAGATTCGGCATAGATTGTGCATGTGGCGAAGTGGAAAGGCGGGAATCTTTTTGGCCCTAGAAGCTATTCGCAAGATGGACTTGAGAGCGTTCCTTGATACGAATTGAATCAAGGCAACTTGAGCACCTGACTTTGGATTGGGTGTTGTGCCACGCCATACTGCTTGGAGCGACACAAAGATGTGGAACAGGGAACCTCTTCGTTGGAATCTGCTCTAAACGACAAATAGGAGAATCACAGTGCTTCCTATGTCAAGGAGACTGGTGGCAGGTGGCAAAGATCGAGAATGGTAGGCGGTGATGGATCTCTCATGCTTTGCGTTTTCAGACTTTCTGAAGTACAGATGCTTCTTGTGGAGAGGAAAAAGATCTGCCCACGTCAGTGACAGACTCAGACGTATTTATATGTAATATTACATATATGTATAATATGTATAATATATATATATATGTGGATATATATATATATATGTATATATATATATATCTATGTATGTATGTATGTATGTATGTATGTATGTATGTATGTATGTATGTATATATGTATATATATGTATATATATGTATATATATATATGTATATATGTATATATATATATATATATGTATATACATGTATATATATATATATATGTATATATACATGTATATGTAGATATGTATATATATATACATATTATCATATATTCTACACTTATATAATATTGATCATATTTTACAAGATTTGAAGTTTGAAGATCCTCAAAGCATCTCAAGGCAGAAAGAATCCTTTGCGCAACTGTGCCAGGAGGTGCCCAGCTTGTCGGAGCGCTTCCGGCGGCTGCGCCGAGCCTTCACTGAACCCCATGTCGACTCCGGAACGGAGCTCTACGAACCGGGGAAATTCAGCCGGGGAACCCGGGAAGTGTTTTGGATGGAAAGGTTGGGTCCACAATGGCTGATGAACCATCAGATTTTGTAGCATTTTTTCTGAGAAAGCCCAGTATGGATCAATGGATCAAGACCATGGCACCCTGGTGAACACCAAACTAGTTGGTAAATGGATGCTCGTAGCCCTCAAAATACTACATGTAGGCATTGACCCACTCTCATACCCTGGGGAAAGCGGGCGATATCAGACAGTGATGATTGATGATGAGTCATGATGGTCCATGGATGGCTGGATTAGTGGATTGAAATCCTGGTGATCATGATGAGTTGATCAGGATCCATCCAGGGTTTCACTTGTCTCAAGGTGGTTGTGAATTCCGTTACAATTTCTAGACGTTGCATTACTAGACGTGTTTTGAGGAGTGTGATATAGAGGCAACAGCGTTGACCTTTGCATACAGCTACTTGCCTTTGCAATGTTGGTGTGTCATTCGACATTTCCCTGGACAGCAAGGACCAACAACAATGGTGGTACAAGCTTTGATTACGACAACATATTTTGATCATAGATTCTTCAGTTTAAAGATGTGGGGATGATCACCTGACTCCCAGGTGATGATGCGGCAGAGAGTGACCCGGAGAGCGAGGATAGTCAGATGTGCGTGCCTGTGATTCAGGTGAGATCTGTGGATGAGGCGCGGTCGCGGAAATTGACTGGAAAGAAGTTGATGCAACACAAAATCTGAAGGGATAATATGAAGTTTCCAATTGCCGCCCGGGTTGGTAATATGAAGGGAAATGGTTTTTTCCAAGATCCAGGCAGTGTGACACTGTCACTGGAACTGTGCACTTCATATTCTCTTTTTCGTATCTCAAGTACCTACTAGGGATGCTGCAGGAGTCCACCGAGCTTGTGGAGCCCCGGCTTGACCTGCCAATGTGCTTTGGATGGCAATAGATTCAATAGATCAATAGATATTCACGATGAATCCTTCACTTGTGCTAATTGAATTCTAAGGAGTTCCTGCAGTCACTTATTCCGAGAGATTCTGAGAGCAACCCCAAAACAAATGGCTGAGGGGTTGGGCCGGTTGGGCTGTACATTTCCTGTGGGGCTCATGAGGATGGCAACTGTGCCGAAGGATGAGAAGAACCAGGTCCTGGTTATGCTTTGCGGCTGAATTTGTCGTAAACCAAAAGCCATTCAGGTGCTGGCTGAAGGGAATCAGCTGCGTAATGTCCACTGTAGGAAACAGACAAACGCCTCATCTATCTGATTCTTTCAGAAAAAATCCCGGAATCCTTTCAGCCCAGCTCTAAAGTCCTTTCAATTCATCACTCCCATCAATCTGAGCTTATCAAATGAACGGGTGATAGCAAGAGTGCTGTAGGAGCAGGGGAAGACAACTGCAACTTGTCAACCAATGCGTGGGATGGTTGGGACATACATCAGCAGAACGATTAGTGGCAATGTGTTTGCAGACCCTTCTGAAGAAATGCGAAACTAAGCATAGAGACTGTGAAGGCGGAGGAGAAACAGTACTTGCAAGAGGCTAGCTGCTGTGCAGTGAAGGGACTAAGTGAGAAAAAAGTCAAGGATAAAGATAGAGAAGGTTGGGCATGGATACCCAAGATTTTGCCCTTCAATCCAGCGAGTTCAAAGAGTCTCTCTATGAAAAGCACAAAGGGACCTCAGCGTCAGCTACAGTCGTTCAATATCTTTCAATCGATTGAGGTCATGCTGCGAAATCTGCCCAACAACTACACGCGAAGCATGCTGCTGAATTTGCTGGAGAAGCAGGGCTTTGTTGGTCGCTTCGACTTTTTGTGTCTTGTAATTCAATGGAGTTCTCACATTTCTCGTGCGTTCGCCTGTGGAAATTGCACCTTTCTGAACAAGTCAGCCAATTGATGCCAATAGACTCAATAGACCTATGATGCTTCCCATCCTTTTGGAGAGGATTAACGTGGGAAACATGATCACTACCTTGACAAGGGCATACGAATGGAAACATCTGGTTTTGATCCCTGGAGCAAGTGAATGGCTCAGTTGCAGCTCACCAAACAAAGTTCCTAGAGCAGCAGACTTCGATGTAGGGACACGGCCAGCACTTGCGACCATCAAACATCATTGAGCGTCTCATTTCCATGCAAACAGACTTGCCACGAAGGCAATGGCTGTGCCAAGGTACTTGCCTTGTGACTTCCAGCGCAAAGCGAGCCTTGTCATAAGCAGATGTATATATCTTCGGCAAAAGGCGAAGAATCAATGATTCCAGGCCAGGATTCGGCAAGGAATTTTCCATAATTTTCCGATGGCCAAATCAGTGCTCCATGTGTTCCTTGCACATGTCCTTGAAGCCATGGATACTTGTAGATCTGACTGATCTGACTCGATATCTTGGCTCAGGGAGATGGTCCCACGGTGCTGAACACAAACAAGTTGTGATGCTTACAATGCTTACCGGAGCTTATGGATTCTGTCCATTTTCGTAGGCTGAGTTAGCGCGTTCGGAACCGGGAAGGACATCCAGTTTATGCGTATGCAGAAATATCTACGGATACCTTAGGTATCCTTAGGTGATAATCCCTAGCATAACCAATTTGATTTCTTCAGTGCTGACAAATACACTTATTATCGCCTCACCGTCCTGACCCCTCACCAAGGAACTTGGGCTATGCGTTCGTGAACATGGTGAACTGCCAGGCTGCCAGGTTCAGTTTGACACTTTGAGCAAGTGCAGCTCATACTGTTGCGCTCTTTTCGCGGGGAAGTGAGGAACGCCCCTACTGTGATTATCATCCACTTCGATTCTCATCTCAAACAACAGTCTGTGAGTGGAAGATAGATTGTGACATCTGTAAGTCTGTTTGGGCACCGCAGGCAGTTGAGGACTTGTGGAAGACCTTTGATGGATTCAAGGGCTGGGCGCTGCCAAGTGCCAAGGACTGCTGGTAGGTTTTATAGTGTGCAGAAGCATGACTCCCCAAGAGAGCTTTCCGAAGTCCACCTGGCTGCTGTGGCTGATCTTACCTTACCATTCTTCACATTTCTTCACTTCATTCTTCTTTGGTTTCCCCAGTTGGGATATTTGTTTTTCTGTTACGCGGCAGGTGTGTGAAGTTCGTTGGAGTGGGCCACATCAAGGCCTTGAGGCACATGTGGAGCGCTATCGCAACAGCCCTGTGATGCACAAGAGCGTTCCTGATGAGCCGCCTGTCTGCGCTTGCGGCCTGTGTGACGTTCATAAGAGACGCAGCGCAGCATCTCAAACAACAGTTTGGCTAGGAAAGGTCTACTTTGGATCTTGTTTCTGTTGACATTGGATGGTTTTGGCTGCCTCACCGCCCCCAACCTTCCCTTTAGATCCCTGTTAAGCAAGATTGCAGAAGACTGACAGCACGTCAACGAGTTGGCATGGGAGAGTGCTTTAGACGCTGCGGATCGCTGTGGATCGCTGTGGATTCCTGGACTCCAAGAATTTCCATCGCAATTTCCATCGCTCAGGTACCGCCCTGTGATCTTTGTGGATGGACAGCGGCAGCGATTCCCAGCACCTACGAAGTTCATCAAGCCACCACAGGCGGGGTAAATCTCGAATCATGGCCTCCCAGACTAGATCCACTGGCAGCCACTAACCTCACTAACCACAAAGGATTGCGAGGTCATTCTGAACACTTGAAGCTTAGGAAAAGTTTGACCTACTATTTGATCTGGTTTCGTGTATGAGTACACGTGCTTCCCCAAGAACCAGAATTAGAAGCGCCGTTTGGGCAGGATAGTCCTACATTTCTGGATTCACACAGTCGCATTTGTTTCACGATGTTTCGGCAAAGGCACATTCCATCAGACACAGCTTCCTTCCTTCTTGATTGTGCAAGGCGCAGTCACGCCGATAGGAGCTGCAGCCGAAATGGGTCGCTGGGTGTGGCTGCACTGACAATTTGATACACCGAGCCTGAAGAATTTGACTGACGACATGGTCCCAACAGGTGGTGAACCAGGAAGACCGCCAACATAATTATTCATAATAGATGTATATACTGTATATATATATTATATTATATTATACTATATTATATTATATTATATTACATTACATTATATTATATTACATTATATTATATTATATTATATTATGTATATATATATATACACTTATTGATCCAAATCAATCATGTGTAATATATCACAAAGCTTTTGTACGTTGTCTGATCTCAATGCTTTGAGCATCTTTTAATTAAGTCAAGGAAGCTCCTTTGTAGAGCTTCGCCGATCCACGTATGATTGCAGGCAGCATGAGCCCAGCCCCAGTCTTCATGGCCAGTTGGATAACCATTCGATTCACATTTGCCCTTGGAAGAGGACCCTGATCCAAGAAACATCTCCGTAAGGGTTGCTAGATTTGGTTGGATCATTTTATATCAGTAATATAGTGTTCCCATGCTACCACAGTACCCAAACCACCAAGTACTAACTTTTTTGGCAAAGCAACTGTCCGGGTAGAGGGGAACGCTGTGCTGGCAGGAGTACTCACGTTGAGCTGGGAGATTTCCATTGTACAGACATTTTTGTGCGGAAAGTGCCATGGCACTCCAATGGTCTGGGAGAGGGAAAGAGGGCGTAGCGAACATTTGCCTCACCCAGGGCCACTGTAACCACTGTTAGTGGTACACCTTGTACAAACCTTGTACAAACCTTGTACGCACCTATTAGACTCCGTGAATATCGAATGGCAGCTGGACAGACCCTAAGTGACTACCGAGCTGGGCGGTATAGACGCCTTACACCCGGTGGCCTGGTCCACGAGTCCACTGCATTGCAAGCTGCAAAGTGAATGCCAGCCGCATAGGGGAGGCCATGTTGCAAAAGTCGCCAACATGACCATGAAATTGTCATGAAATTGTCTATGAAAGATATGAAAGTTGAAAGATTTGAGAGCATGGGGTGAAGTGCTGTCCGAAATGAGGGCAATACAATGCTTGGAAGTAGCACTGAAAATTATCCGGACTCGAAACAGATTCAAAGAGTACTTCGATGCAGATGTAAAACGCATGACTGAATATGACTAAACCGTGCCCCTGGCTTTGTAGTCTGAAAGTCCAAGATAACCTAAAAGGAGGTTCAAAAGATGAAAACAGCAGGCTTTCCTCTCTTCATGGTGTGTATCATATCCAGCAAAACTACACTGATCATCATTGATCCAAGACCATTTTTTGTCCGTTGAACTTTTGCAACGTCTGTGGTCTCCCAACCGCAGTTTTCGTTGACACGGCACTGGTGGCTTTATTTGTAAAGCTTAAGACTGACCTGGGCCCCAAAAAATCAAGTGGGGCCTGGACGGTGGGCCACCTGCGTCCGGACCGCACAATGCATGCGAAGGTGCAGTTGCGAGGACTCGACCCCATGTCGTTTGTCGCAACAAAAAGGGTGGAGTGTAGCATTTTGGCCCAACCGGTGGAGCACCTTCACCCAGCATGAAATGATTGAGGCCTTTGGTTGGCCTGCTTCCTCTAGATCCCTAACATCCAAAAAGTCTAACACGCAGACCATTTCTTGATGGTTTTGTGTGACTCTTGTGTTAGAGGCATTGACATTCACAGGGGCTGCGAGTTGGGGTTTGAGGAGGTGTGTTCACCAAGCAGCTTCTAAACCACGCTTGCATTTTCATATTTCATGTCCTGCGGGTGGAAATCTAAGACAAGATTCGGAGAATCTAGGCATATACACCAGCTTCGTGGGTTTCTTCGATTCATCTCCATTCACTGCCATGAAAACCGTCCCAGTTTTTGGCCAGAAGCTCAGGTCACAGAAGATAGCCGCTTGGGTGAGGCATCTCAAGGCTGCTCGACTGAGCAGTGCAACATGGTTCGGGAATATTTAGAGATGTTATGCGGATGGTACAGATGATGGTACAGTATGGTACAGTTCTCTACACTTTGTGCAGTGCACCTGGCTTTTTGCCTGTCGAAAGGGTTTCGTTCCGAGAACTCTGAGGAGCTAGTGATCTCCAGCAGGAGGAGCCCTTGCGCATGCGCTGTGTGCAAAGCCAGTGACTTTGGGTTCGTGGATGAAATTTGCCAAAAACGAAGCATTCCTTGTGCATTCGGTGCTTGCGGTTTGCTCAATCGTCTTAAACAGTTGGATGACTGTTGGATGACTGTTGGATGATTGTTGGATGCATTGGATGCTTCAGATGTTTATAATTGTTTATATAATCAGCCATTACTATCATTACTACAGCCCTCAGAGATGACCGATGTTGTGGTCCTGCCTTCGAGGATCCTTTGGAGTTCTGGCGCAGCCTTTTCGGTGATGTGTTGCGGCCACGGCGTGCAGCAGCTGTGGCTTGAAGAGCTTGTGAGCTGTGAACAGCGGAGGTAGACAAGAGACAGGCACATGTCACACCTTCGCAGCTTCGCACTGTTCCTCCTTTCCACCCTCTGGGGGCAGGGCTGCAAATGGCCCCGGATTCTGGACCCGGCGATAGCCATCCAACATGTTGGATAGCGAAGGCGAATTCAGGGCTGTTGCATGAAAGGGCTTCGATGCTCAAGGATGCTCAAGGGATCTAAAAAAGTCAGGATATCTCTGGACATCTATTGGTATCTTAAATGCAAGACTCCTTTGTTGTCTTTGTCACTTCCCTGTTTTTCCAGCAATCATCCTTTCACCTCTTTATATAACTGCATGCGCTGTTGCAAGATTTTGGATTTTCTCACAGAGTTCGGCTTTTCAGCCAATTTGAACATATTCTGACTCTTCAGCACCTTCCAAGCTGCTGTAATTTCTGGGGCAAGGGCTCCACTTCTGGTGGAGGCCCACACCAAACATGTCCAGCACGCTGTGGCTCGGGGGAGACATTGCCTTGAACCTGCAAACCAATGCGATCTTGGTCCAGTGGGGCTGGAACTTGAACAATTCTGCCATTTCCGCCATTCTCAGGCTCCAGCCGAGCACCAGCAACTCCTTTTTGGCAAGTCCCCAACGCAGAGCCAATAGCGTGAAGATGTGGGGATTTGTACAGTACAGGCCTGAGAGACCTGAGCTGAAAGCCTTGGACACAGAGAGACGATATGTTAAGGAGATAGAAGCAGATTTGCGACGGAATGGGAGTTATATTTTGTGCATTCGATATGCTTCGTGTATCTTGGTGTCCCATGGCAGAAATTTCGTGTTGCAGAGCCGGAAGATGACGAGCCGGTTTTGAAGGTTGGGAAAAAAGATGACCGAGTCCGCGATGAAAGGATGCTGCTTTTGACACATTTTGAACTGTGTTTCTCGTGTCAGTGCTGAAGTCTGCTTGAACGTGAAGTTGGGCTTTTGCCAGCCTTGAACATTTGGAGTGTTGCCCTTGCAGAAACGTATCAGAGGGGCTTGGAATCACTTGTGAAGGATACAAATACACTTTCTGACAAGCTTGATGTTTAGCTGTTCGCAAGTGAGCTCAAGTCTTTCCAACAATTCGCAGACAGCCTGGGTTTAGCACTGCAGACAACTTGTCCACAACGTGAGGCAGCCTGTATCTTGCGCTCTCCGCGCTTTTTGCGACTGCTCCCTGTGGGTCAGGACTATGCCATGGCCTGTGGTCTGTGGATCGGCGTTTTATATATATATATATATTCTCGTACCTTGTCTTTTCTATGAGTCTGGGATACTATGTCAAGGAGCGTACAGATGAAGCAGTCAACTGAACATATGGTTTGCACATTGTTTGCACTCAGTGTAAACTTGAAAGCTATAATCCTATTGCTGCAAAAAGGCTCAGTGGGCAGCATTCTGTGAATTAAACTGCACGGTCATTTGCAGCTTTCATTCTGCAAGCTTGGGCTCACTATGATACAAAGACAGTCTCGGCTCCTGACTTCCGTCTTCAAGTCTTGACTCAACTTGAATAAGAGTTATCCACTGTTCAAGTGCACACACCGTAACAGGTTTTTCGTCATTCTCCTCTTACCAATGCTTCTTTTGGAATTCTTTTGGAATATTTTGGCTGCCTGTGCCCTTTTGAGTGTTGCATCTTTCTTCCATCGTGCAGCTGCCATGTCGACTGCTTTCGCGGCGGCGCCACAGGTGACAACACCTGGAATCAAGGCAAACCTTGTTGGAATTGGTATGTCACCCCGGGAGTCCCTCAACAAACAGCCTGGGTTAAGTTTTGAAGCTTTTGAAGCTACGAACTGTCGTTTTTTTCGCAGAAGGCAACTCGCATTTGCAGTTTATTCCGTCTACCCTCCTTTGGCCACATCTTGCAGATACTATATACATCATCTATATACAATCCCTGAACATATCGCTAAAGGAAGCTAGCATTGAACCGGGAGCACATCTCCCTCTTCCTCATTGTCAGTCATTTCATCTGAAGAAGAGGAGCAATTCATCGTTGCTTCTGCTTTTGCAATTCAATAGTGGATTCTGTCTTGTCATGTTGTCAACAATGTGTAAGCACTGTTTCTTCAGATCGACCACAATGCGCAGTACTAGTTGCTTCACTCGTCGTGGCCATGGACCCAGAGCTGCTCCGTAGCATGAAGATGCTAATCCTGGAAATACTGCAGCGACCCAAGCACATTAAAGAAGTTAAACAAGAACTTCGCGAAATCACACAGAGACATACTTGCCGGTATACAGTATATGTAATGATATTGGGTGTTTATCCTCCAGGTCAACTTGCAGCCAACGAAGTTAGATGCCCATCAAGACGAGTTGTCGCCCAATCGCCCGTCTGTCGCAGGTGGTCCCGAGTCGGTCCAGCCATGGCCGTGTGACGAAACCACGTGGCCTGAGTTCCCTTGCACAGCTTGCAGGTGGCACCAGCCAAGATCACAGTGTTGATTTGTTGATTCGCGGTTGAAGACTTTTTGGACTGAACTTAGAAAGGAGATGAGATGAGATAAATTGAGATAACCATATAAGACATGTCTTTGTGTTAGTTGAAAGGAGACACCTGGGAAATATGATAAATTATGTGAATGATGATGATGATGATGATGATGACGATGACGATGACGATGACGATGATGCAGATGATGCAGTTGTGCTAATCTAAAGCACCTCTTTAGCGCCTGTTTTTGGATGGTCCCCTCTTCGCAAAACGAGGTGTTGTGTGGCCATCGGTGCCAGCTGTCTACGGCCTGGCTATCCGCAGGGCAAAGAGGTGCCACTGTGGGCCGTGGAAGGGCACAACGCAGGGAGAAACACATGAAACACATCCCTTCACAAGACATGGCCAGGAAATGCCAGGAAATGAGATATAAATGAGATGAAAAGAGCAGATATCCAGAAAGTAGATATCATCTTGAAAGACACCCTTGAGTCTTAGTTTCGTGAGGGATAAACAACAAGAGGCTAGGTAAAGATCAAAGCACACTCTGTTCAATGTATCCTCTTCACTTTGCTACTTCCATTGCTAGCCTTCACAGTTGAGCCGCTTGTGGGACGTCCCACATCCTTCATTACTTCGAATTCGCAAACGAGAAAAACTCTTCTTTGAAACATTTTGAAACTACTTGCTTGGATTTTCTTGGACTTGACACGATTCTGGTGTTTAACATCTCTCTCAGACAGATTTGTGCCTCAGCTTTGACGCTTTGACGGCATGGTGCTTCAGGCGTTCTGCAATGGCTGCTACAGCTACGACCACGACACACCACCGTCGCCCTGTGCCGCAAGCCGCACCTGCGGGTTCTGCGGAAGCGTGGCGTGAGAGGCAGGTTGTACACATCAAGAGCTCATGGCAGGCAGCATATTGTGCTTTCACCAGGGATGCCGCACTGATGTCTAGGATTGTCTAGGTATGTTTAGTGGCAAGACATCTCACTGACATGACATGAATTTGGCTTCAGACAGCAGCTCGGGACAAACCTGACTTTGATTCTGAGCCTTCAGCTCAAGAGGGAGAAGGCGATTACTTGCAGTCAATGAAAGCAACAGATCTGGTAGACGCTGAAAGATGTTTTCTGGCATATTACTGTACTGAGAGGCTTAAACTTTCTACGCTTGGGTTTTAATAGCTCAGAATAGCTCTAACAGCAAAGGCTTTGTCCCCATTGTGTTTTTCCAACAGGCCTGCACTAGCAGACAACCAGCATGCCTGTCAAGATATCTGTGACTTAATTTCTACATCATCGCTGGCGAAAGCCTTGAACAAATCTTCAGTGCGCAATGGCACCGCCTCTGGAGAAGGAGCTTGAAGACAAGGCGAAGGACAAAGCGTCAGGGGCTTGAAGGTTGGCAGTGGGCAAGCAGTACAAAACCTTCAACAAGCGACATCATTGTCGGGATATGACCGTTCCAGATATGGTCCACCCTGGATCCATCTTGCTTCCCAATGGATGATGTAGCTAACGTAGATGGTTGACTATGGACACCTTCTTGACTATCGCTGACGTCACTTGAAACTGGCTAGTCAGCCTAGCCCACCTGTTGCAGCTAGACATGCTATGTAACAGGAACAGCCCAAAGTGGGTCCAAAGTGACTTGCGTCCAGACTTGCCGGGGTCAGAGGGTCTTTCATTTCGGGACCCAGACTCTTCGACGCCAGGAATTAGAAAAGCTGCGGGACGAAGTGGAGACAGACATGCAGGGATCTATGTTGCCACACGTGGAAAACATGGAACAAGCTTTGGAAACTTGGCACTGAAGAGTCCTGCTGAGCACGCCATTTCAGGTGGGTGCTGATGTTTTGCGTTGCAAGTCAGCCTGCAATGGCGCAAGCTAGGCTCAGTTCCCAGAGCGATTGATACTCTGACTCTTCTCTTGGGGTTGACACTTTATGAGACATTTCAAGATATTTCAATTTTACAAGAGACATGCGCTGTGGATCTGACACCTTTTTCTTTAAAGCAGATGGAGGAGCCTACTGCCAAAGTAAGCCTGTGACCAATTGCAAAGGCTCAGAACATCTCAGAACCATGTTGATTTGCGGAGGGTCAGAGCTGATGAGCTCTGTCTGATTATCCTGGAAAGTTTTGAAACTCAGATCTCTGATTACACAAATTTTCAGGGATCTCCACTGCCCTCAAACAAACACTCGGTGTCGGTGCTTTCTCGAGCAAGGATACATTGAACATGAAAAACCTGGCAGAGATGCGCAGCAAAAAGAAGGTTTCTGACGAAATTGTGAAGGTGATGAACACGCTGTATTATGTACTCAATGAGTAGCTTGGCAACCAAACAATAGATGAAGTGAAAAGGAAGCTTTTGGCATGTGAACTGTGACAAGTTGATTCTTCACATCAGTTTGTCCCTGGTCAAATCGCAAGCAGAATGCCATCGAATGCCTCTGGTCGACAAAAAACTGTCAAGTCATCCGTGGCCAAGCCAAGGACGGAGGCGCGTGCCGAGGACTGGAGGAAGTTGGCATTTGATTATAAATTTGCGGAACGTTTGTGCCTTGGATTGAACTGATTGAACATCTCATGTGCATAGGCCGAATACAAACAATTGATTGTAGAATTTTGATCAAGACCGCCTCAGCGATGGACAATATCGCCAAAATATATCCTTCAACTTGGCAGGGTTGTTGATCTTCATGCCTTCTGTGAACTGAGGAAGTGCTTTGACAGAGACGATCTCAGTGATGCTTCACCTGCAATTGAGTACTTTGATGTGAGTGAACGTGCAAATCGGAAGGAACCGTTTTCGGTAGTGAGTGAATTCTGCACGCTGGATTTCTGGGCTGCCAGTCCGACCGAACCGGAGTGCATCTTGATATTCTAATCTTCACAATCGCAACTTGCATCGCTTATTTGTGTCGCTTATGTTTCTTCGTGGCAAGTCAGGACAGGGCCTTCGCAAGACTTGACGGCTTCTTCTCTGAACCTGAGCCTGATGTGGATGGCGACAGGACTGAACCAGCTGAGTCATAGAAGTGGGTTTTGTACTTTGTAACTAGGCAGGCCTGAGCAAGGCACTCCGGTGCATTGCTTCTGGCCAACGTTTGGTTTGGCGATTGACATTGGCTTGACATCCAAGAAATTAAATCCGATAGCTACTCAACACTGGATCATCCTCCAACACTCACAAATGCGTATGTATTGGCCAGGCAGTATTTTTGCACTGGACTTGTTCACCTGCAGATTGCAAATGGCCCTTGAAATGCTGGCAATCTGAATGCTCCGAACTTAAGCTCTTACACAAAGCACTGCTTCTAACCGCTGGTTAGAGCGCTGATGTTCACTCCAAAGACCAGAGACTGAATAGGAAATTTGGTGACATTGTGGTGACCAAAGTAGTTCTCACTTGGATGCGTGGGCTTTACAACTACTGCGACTTGGCATCTGTCGCTGTGAACATGTGAAGATGTCAGCATAATTTTCTTCATGAAACGTATCATTTTCTCGCAAACATGGTAAAGACCGATGTATTCACTCTCAAGAACATGCGGCAACCGAAGCAAGCCTGGCCTCCAACTAAGTTCAGACCTTGCCCTGATCACAGAATGCGAAGCCAGACAAGCTCAAAACACATGATGAAAATCCGCCCATATCCGCCCATCCTGTTCTTTGCTGCCCAAGCTCTTTTTTTTCATTGAAATGTCTTGAAATTCTGTTTTGGATTCGGTTGGTATTGATGCAATTCCCACAGTGGCCTTGGGAGTCGCAATGGCTCTAAGTTACTAAGTGGCTCTAAGCAATTTTGCATCTCACGTTTGCAGTATTCCCTATCTCATTCCCAGGAAGATGGACCCTGAAGCCCAATTCGCAATCATGCCCAATCTAAGGTGTGATCTCTGTTTGGATGACTGCTAGTGAATCCTGGTACACACACACAGACTCATTCCCTCACTTTCCTTTGAGAGTCTTGACAGTGAATAGTGATAGCGAACTCTGCAGGCAAAGAGAGAAAAAGGCTGCAGCCCCGACTCCTGACTGCAAAATTCTTTGAAGCCTGATTCAGCTTGACCCAGCTCGACTCATTTACCCGTGACCGCCTGTGACAGCTTGACTCATTCAGCTTTTGTGCCTTGAGGAATTGACCAAGTGAGGAGGCTGGACGGGGAGCTCCAGGCACTATACGAACTCAAGGCTAAGGACAAGTGATCCGATTGGAGCAGCTGACAGCCCAGGATGACATGCCTGGGGCGAGGGCAAAGTGCCAGAACTCAAAGGTTAAGACAGATTGACGCAATGATGCCATCTGTTGTAGGTGGCTTCAGGCCGAACTTGGGTGTTTAAAACACCTTCAAGTCCCTCTGCAACTCTTGGTCAAAGACACCATCCCCGCATTGCCGGTTTAACAGGCCACAAATCTGCATGCTCTGCATGCTCTGCATGCCACCGTGTCAACATGCCAGAGGTGCCCTCCCATTTTCCACCCATTTTGGGATCCGCCCATCGGCTCGTTCCGCAGAGGCATTGGTTTCCCATTGCATCGACTTTAGAGCTGGATCCCAAGAGACCGACGCCGGTTCGCCTGGATGGCTTGGACCTGGTGGTTTGGCAGGCTGGGAATGGCCGGCAATTGGCATTGCAAATGGTTGCAACTGGTTCAGTCCATTCGACTCATCAAGGCTTCATCAAGATCTACATGAACTACTTGAATCTATATATTTATATGTCATTTGTGATTATTTTTGTTGAACGTTATTGATAATATTTGATAACATTTTTTTTTTCGATCAAAGACATTACATACTGTTTGGACGAATCTGGAAGTCCACATCGTCCGAAAATTCCGCACCAGGTGCCTGGAGAGGAAGATTCAGAAGATGGCGGATGGCGGGTGCCGTCGGAGTGGAGCTTGGAACGGGGAGCGTTGGTCCGAGAGCAGAGAACCAACGGATCTCAAAGATGTGCTGTGAATTGTGGTGCTGTTCATGATACTGATACAGGATGATATGATGATATAGGCAATCCGAGATGTGGCAAGTCTTTCATATTATGCTCTGGACTTATAAATAGAGTAAACAAGCTTATTTGCTAAGAAACGAGCCAACTTGAAGCGTGATGACGAGGAAATCAATTGCGGGGAGGGACACGGTGGGTTCTCAAGACAGCCTACAGCCACACCCAGCACTTGATGTAAACCCTCCCAAAATCCAAGAAGAACATCGTACAAGACCAAGATTAGGCTAGATTGATTAGATAAGAAATGCCAAATAGATATATCTCCAACTCCGAACTTCCTGTTCCACGACCTGTCTGCCAGCGTAGGTGATGAGTGATGCGTGTCCCCATCGCTTGGCTCCTCTGTCAGAGGGGCGCATAGAGCCAAAGACCAAATGCTTGCAGCCGGGACACTCGGATCTCTGACAGCTCCAAAAATGGGACACTGAGCAATCAAGTTGATGACTTCATGATATTGTGTGACATTTCTTGGTGGCCATCCCGGTCCACATGCTCCGTCGACTTCTGTAGAGGACTTGGCTAATTTTGCTGGGATGGTGCACAGGGATTTCTGAGATTGTGAGGGTCAGGATGCATAGCTACAGATCCCCCTCCACAGTTATGCTTCCTTCAAGCATCATTTTAGAGGAATAGCTTCAGATCTCCTCGATCTCCTCGATCTCTTCGATCACACCAAGTGGCAGGTGTGCATACCATGGCTGGGAATTCGACTCCAAGGGCAGCTGCACCAAGATTCCACAAGTCGAGGACATAATTGAAGGAAGTATGTATATATAGAGTGAGTAAGATGTGCTGGGCAGATGAGGTATTGGTCTTGCAGCATATGCCACTCAGATGCCCTTTGTGGTCAATTGTTGACTCGATTGACTCAGTTGACTCGGTTGCTTCAGCAGGACGCTGCAGCGCAAAAGATGCGAGCAAGTGAACGCTCGCAGGCGGGGCTCAGTCTGGGCCTCTTGGCTTAGTCCATAGGGCCATAAGACCGGCTTGAACGCAAACACGCATATAGGTTTGGCTCCAAACCAGCTACCAAAGGGACCACGAGTAGGGTGATTTTCAGTATCTAAGCCACAAATTTCAGGCAATATTCTATAATAGAAATCATGTACACGTACATATTGTGTTGTAATGTTAACCCTGGATTAATAAACCTCTAGGCTGTTTAATTGGGGGGGTACCATTTAAGTATTAGATTATGACTATTGGAGGAGTACCCCCCTAATTAGTAAACCATGGTTTATTAATCCGGGGTTGACATTATATGATGTATATATGTGTATATATATAAATAATATGTGAATATTCAAACATATTTATATGTATATATATATATATCATTGTATATCCGTATTCATGAGCCACAGACAATATGACTCCCTGGTCGTGCAGTGGTGCAGGTGCCCAGCTTCCCCACGAAGGTTGCCATGAAGTTGGTTTGGGTTTGGCTGGGCGAGGGAGAGCCCCAGGGTCATCCTGGCGACATCTTGAAAGGAACTTTGGTTGAGAGAACTGGGGTGGATACAAAACTTCAAGCTGGGGACAGGATGGTATGCCGCACACGATCCGTTGGGGTTTAGAAAAAGAGATGAGTAGCCGACAAAATTATTCTAATACTAATTTATATAGTTTGGCTTCGCCTTGGCCTTTCCGAGGTTGCACACAACCTTCATAACCGGTAGGGGACCGACCCCATACCGATACCCAATTTGTGATACCTCCGGGAATACTGAAATCCTCACAACATCTCACAACCGATAGGGGACGACCCTAATTTGTGCATGGCATTAAATTGAATATATGATTTTGTCCGCTACTTAGATGTCTTTGGAGGTACTCAATGGATTTATTTGCGGGCACCGGGCACTTTTTCAAGATGAATTCAACTAATGAGGGAGTTTTCCTGTTTTGCCAATGTCCAGTTACTGCATGCCCTAGATCTAGCCTGATGGATCGATTAGAGCATTTCATGAGGCAGCCATTTGGAGTCTGAGTTCGAAGTCTCTGGGACCTATACACGAGATTTGCCCTATGGCCGCCTGGCTTGAACGTGGCAAGGTCTCAGGTATCGGGCTCAAAAGGGTGGAACCATAGCCAATCTGCTCCTGTAAGCGTCATACACCCAGAGCATTGAGATGAACTCTAATGAACTCCATTCTTTTTCCATTTCTAAGCTTGACCCAAGAGAGACCCGTCACAGGGTCTCAAGAGGTGCCAAAAAATGTCAAGATTTTTGGCTTTTGCAGGGAGCCTTGCAGAGCGTTTGGCTGCGGTTGCCATTGCTTCTTTGGTGATTCCGAGGCTATGACAGTTTGATCGAGAATCTGATTGACGTCTCCCACGTGCCCTTTGCTCATCACGGCCTGCAAGGCACAAATTCTGTTTTCAAAAGCCATGGGCAGAGGCGGCATGTGAGATCAAACCACTCACAGTCACTCTCGTGTCTCTAAAGATGCAAGGGACTGTATTGAACCGGGCTTAGCCAACTAGAAATCATCACAACCATACACCTTCGGATCCTTTTGGATTTATGGACATGTCATGTCGGGCTGAAAGGTCATGAGCAGCATTTGGAACAGGGGGGGATTGCAGCACTGTGGTTTAGAGAGAAAGAATAGCACACTCCTACGTATGCATCCTACGAAAGTCCAAAAGCAGACAAGTGGCGAGATACCCTTTTGTGCTTTAACTAGATGATGTCGAAAGGGTCAAATCAATTTGGTAGAACACACTGAACACCCTTTGAGAAAGGTAAGGCGCAGCTTGTTGTTGGGATTTATATATATAGATCTTCTCAACCCTGTCGACATTTGCATGGCTTTTGCCAACTATTATGACACACCCATATGACAAATAATTCCTCGTTCTCGTCTCAGTTTCTGTGACGGACTTCAATCCAACGGGTGAGACCGGCTGATACCAGGCACCCGAGACGATGCTGTCCCTGTTTCCATGACCATTCCAGAGGTGAAGTCTTCTGATGCTGGGCGAAATCTGGCAGGTAAATTTTGACCTTGTTTGATTCTTTTTGGGTAAATCTTGACAATTTTGGACACCCAAAGTTTTTTGGACATATAATATTCTGGTGTTCTGTTGGGAAGCTGAATGAAGCCGAGGCTGAACACGGTGAGATCCTAAACTTTACGTTTTGGGATCGAACCATGGGCACTTTGGATGCACAGATTCACCAAGGGTCTGGGGAAAAATTCTAGCCTCTTCTCGCGCAACTTCAACGAAATGAACTGCCAGGTATGAGGCGAGAAGCGCAGTTCTCTTTGCGATCGCCGTTCTTCTTCTATTACTTGGGTGAGTATCTTGGTCAGATATCTTCTGCCGGTGTTCTGCCGGAATTGCTTGCCGCAAAGAATGAAAGTGGTTTTGGGCAAAAGATGCCAGTCCTTCTAAACCAAGCTGTCTTTCACGGGCTTTTTTGCAGGCTGCAATGGTTTGTGGGCTGACGTACTTTCACTGTATACATACTAATACATCTGTATAGGTTTCATTATGTGTTTTGCAGGTTCAAAGGAGACGGAGATAGCTTGGAGTTCAAGAAATTCGCAGAACGCCGTGGAGGCGGCGAGGCCGATGGAAAGCCACGCTTCCGTTCCTTGGGAGGAAACGACTTTAGGACCTTGGGGTGTTGCTTCACAGCCGTATTGATGTGGCCGGATTATGCCAGACGCTTCGGAAGTAAGTTATACAATGTTATACATATAAAAATCAGCTGCAGATAAAAAATGTACAGAGGCCAGAGACTCCAAACTTTACAGCGGGTTTGAGCTGAGTGGTTTGGAATATGAACAACCTCAGGACCTTCACGTCTTGAGCTCTCTTTTCTCAAAGCATTCCGGCTCTGTAGTGAGGTTTGCATTGCGCCTGTGTGCCTGTGGCCCCCGGCTGGTCGCGACTGATCCTTTGCAACGCCACCAGATCAGGTGAGGGATTCAGCAGAAATGTTTGCAGTCGAGCTACTATATAACTATATAAAACATTATATAACCCAACCTGCGAGCTTCCGGCAGATTTCGTGAATACATTTGACATCATTTAACCTCACCTGCAAAGGTAGTGGTGACAGAGCAGGTAGACCTGCTGGATGTGAGGGGTTTTTGATAGCATGATGCATCACCATGGGGGTCGAAACACCTGGTCCCTACCCTTCCTTGGGCTGAAAGCCAGGACAGTCTGGAAGTTGCTCGGCAGATCACAGTTGGATTTGTGAACAGCATTTCTATTGCTCCGCTCATCTACTGGGATACAGTGTGATCCAAAGACCGACTGTTTTCCAGGAGTTCCAGGAGTCTCCTACCGCAAAGAAAGCGTCCTGCTTTTTTTTAACACTTCAAAGATCTGCTCTTCAGATTCCAAGGCATCCTGCCACAATGGGCAATTCACCTTTTGTCCAACCGCTTCCTCGATCCTTGGCTTTGATGGAGATGCAATGTGAGACTTTAAATTGGATGTGTTTGGTGTTGCGCTGTGTTTATTCTCGCTGCAGTATTTCGCTTGAGATCGGGCCAACCCGCTGTTCCCAGTCTGCCATTTGCTTCCAAGGACAGCGACATGGCATTTCTGCACTACCAGGAAAGGACGCTGCGCAACAAGACAAACAGCGCTGATGGTTGGTCCAATGCCTACTACATGCCAGGCTGGTCGGTCACTGTCACCCAGCCCAGTGGTTTCCGTTCCATCTGCAGGGGAAGCGGATCGGAGCATTGGAGCCTGGCGGCAATGGTTGGCAAAGGCCCGACCATGTGTTGAACAGATTTGATCGTCGAGATAGATGTTGATAGAAGATGACAGAAGCATATGTTCAATACACCTAAGAACGGCTGACAATAACATGCATGTTTCTGTGTGCCCAAAAGCAGACCTTGGGGCTTTGAGATCCTGGCTGTGCTTACTGCGACCATTCAAACTCAGAAAGTCTTAGGGTGTGCTATGTGAGAAATAAGTTGAAATAAGTATAAATAAGTATACTACTAGCTTAACAAGTGTCTTGCTCTATTATGCTACATGTATTTTCTTTGTGACAATGCTACAATTTTGTGTCAGGAAAAAGCACGATGCGTGGATCCTGAGGCTGGCAGACTGGCTGAGCCCACAACTTCTGGATGTCCTCTGGTTTTCCTTTGCTTTTCTGGAGTGGAAAACTGGAAGTTGAAAGTTGAAACTAACAGTCACGGGACTATCAAACCATTATCAAACCAATCAACAGGCCTGCATAGGCCCCGACATGTTTTGGTAGGGTTCTGGGAATCATTCATTGCCTGCTGATAATCCTTTTCTTTCCCAAAATTAGAGATACGGTTAGGTGTTTCTCCCCAAAGCCCATGGAAACTTGAGCAGTGGTACTGGAATCAACTCTCACTTAGAGGTAGCTTGCCTGCAACAGCAAGCTCAGTCCCTTGGTGAGTCATTGGTGTGCGCAGGTGGAATTGCCACCATCTCCCTTGTCAAGGGAGGAGCTGCTGAATCGATGGGATCAGCATACTGCCTACTGCAAGCACTGCCGCGAGGCACTGTGATGTTGATGCTGGGATCTTGGGCATAGGAGTCTGACACCGGTTATGCAACCAATAGTACCGTTCATGGTACCAGGATCCCACATATTTTGAGGTCCAGAATGATTTGGGTCATTTTGATGCTGCATGAGTTGCGGAGGCTCTGAGCAACATGGAGGTGGTACAAAAGGGCTGTGCTGCGCTCTTCTTGGCAGCGCTCGTAGGGGCTCAAACAGAGCTTGCGCCGAATGCCTTGTGCAGCCCTCAGGATCTCGGTGCTTGGGCAAATTTGGAAGTGAATCACACCCCATTAACCTGTGCCGGTCTTGGTGTTGATTCAGAAGAGCCTGTTTGGTAAAGATGGCACTTCAAACATGATCAATGATGATCAATGATGATCAATGATGGCAGTTCGTCCCAGACTCGTCCCAGCACTGATGTGGCGTGCTGTTTAAGCCGGCTGAGGTGTTTGCCAGTGGAGCTCTTGGGTGCAGTTGGGATGGCAGGTATCGAGACATTGAAACAGGCTCCGAGCGGGTTGTGAAGGTTTTGCCCACAAATCCTGTTAATGTTGGAATGAATGCTACTGGTCATAGTCATAATAGTCATAGTCCTCTGCACATTTCCTTCCCAAGTTCGAAGTATGGATGCAAAGAGTCTGCTTAGAATGTTGCTCGTACAGTAGTTCTCTTGCCAACTCCTGTAGCCATGCCTCTCTATTTCAATTCGCTTGATCCTTGCCTCCACGCTGCCAGGAGTTTCGCTTCAAGGATTACGAACACTACAAGACTTGAAACTCCTGAGAATTCATAGCTGTGGCAACCTGGAACCCTCTTAGACACAAAACGACGCCTATATTCAAATCTGCTTAAGCTGAGCCCTGGACAATGAGTTCCTGCCAGGATTTTCGGAGCACAGTTTCACTTTCAGCGTTGAGCACAGTTTCACTTTCAGCGTTGAAGTGCTATCAAATTTCCCGACCCCAACATGACAACTTGAAGGAGCGCACCAGAGCACATCAAAGCTTGAAATTTGCCATAGCGACTTGGAGTTGAGATGCAACCAGCCACGCACATTTTATTGTGGGAACCATCAGGTGCTCCCCTTCTGATGTCAAATTGGACAGCGAAATCATGTGAAGTCCGCTTAGTGGCGCGAATGCAAATGCAACTTCAAGGATCTTCAAGGAGCTTTAAGGCACATGCGAGGGTCCTAATGTTTTTGTAGCTTCATGCAGCTGATCAATGGTTTCAAAGGGCAATCGAGTAGATTTCGATAGTGTGATTCTAGTTGTTGTTGCTGCTGTTGAACAGCCATAGGAAGTGCGACAAATGTGTTATATATATATATATAACATATATATATAATATATATATGTAGATATATGACAATAGATGATATATATATACAGTAGACAGTATACATATATATATATACATACATACATACATACATATCATATAAAGATGTTTTATCTATACTATATGCACATACGTATGTACCTTACATACCTACTGTAGATATTTGTTTGATTGTTGCTGTTGCTCTGAGCCAACTGCGAAGATTGGAGCCCCCACCTGGTAACTCTTGAGCCTCGCTGGTCAACTCCGCGTTGACATGCCACACGTAGCTGGCTGTGTCAAACATCGTTTTGGACAAAAAGTGATAGAAAACAGCATTAGCGAGGTACCAATCGACCTACAAAACAGGGGTTTAGTATGGGGAATTTATGGAAATACAATGGAGACATTGACATATAACATCATATAACCAAGCATATGATATTTGGGTGGGCAATTTTACTGGGGAAAATCGTGATGAGCCATCAAATTTGAGAGGAAACCTACAAACTTAGGTCAGTTTCTCATCACCTCTTGGGTGGCCAATACCCAAGGTAAATCACATGGTTTCTGTGCAGGAGCTGGTCTCAGGCCAAGCGCTGCCATTGCTGGAACAGGCTGGACAGATCAGGATTGAAGTGTTGAGCACGAATGATGAGCTCAGACGCCAGAAGCTAGTATGCGTTGCAGGATTAGTTGCAGGGCTCATAAGAGGTGCACAAATTACAGATATAAACTGGGAGCACGGCTGCTTCACCTCATCTTTTTCCAATCTATCAATTTGGCTAGAACGGACTGCAAGAGTGACCCACTCACTACCTTATCTGATGAATTGTGGTCATCCTTGTCATTTTGGACCTGGGCATACCGTGCCAAGAATCAGCATGTTAGCCTCCTCGATGCAGGTGGTGCGCCTTTCGGGTATGGAGAAGAACTCCGACAAGATGGATGAGGCCCAAGTTTTCCCAAGAGATGGATCACTTTGATCACTTTGATCACTCGACCTTTTGACCCCTTGACCCATGTGCGCTTGACTTGGAGCAGCTGTTTCCCCACAAAGAGAATGTTTTTTTTTTTCAGTTTTGGCCTGGAAACTCCTTCAAAGGGTTGCTTTGTCGTAGTTTTGCCGCGCATGAAATTTGATGAGATTCATTGGATTTACAGAAACTTCGCAACCATACCAGCCTGAAACCCGACGCGTTGTCGCGCTCCAGCGCTGAATCCCAACAACGAAGGCATTTGCCAGAGTGGTCGGGATGTTCTGTGCCTGTTGGGTCCTCCAGCAATGGTCAACCGAGCTGCATTGACATGTTGGGATGTCAAACATCGTTTGAAGCAAGAGGTCCAAGAGGTGCATGACGTACCAAACATTACCAAGAATTTGTCACATTGAATGATCATGTGTAAATACGTTTATGACAGATGTGAACATCCGAGGTTTGGATCACAGAGAACTGCGGTTGGGCGATCTGCCGGGCACCGAGATGAAGTGTTTTGCAAGGTTATTAGATGTTATTAGTCTGAGAGTCTGAGATAGGTCTGATCGGGTGCTGTGACATCTGTGACTGTGACCCGTTGCAGGTTGGCACAGGGCAGCTTGGCGGTCTCTCTGGAGGTGGGCCATGACTTCCTGGGATCAACTTGGGCCCGGCCCTCATGGCCACTCTTTATTGGCAGGTTCTGCATGCGTACCGGCAGCAGGAGCTCCATTTTGCAGGTGCAGTCTGCAGACACAACGTGACACTGGAACTGAATGGTGATCACCACAGTATGCCACAGTTCAACATTGTTCAACATAGAACAAACATGAACAGAATACTCTTGGGTCCAAGCTGGTCTCTTTGTCTTGCAGGTCCACCATCGCCAGAGCGAAGCAGAAGGCGCCATGAAGGGGGTATGCAGTATGCGATGGTTTGTGGTAATCGTGTTTAACCGGTGCAGAAGAAAAGTCAGCCAATGCCATCCGTATTTGATCAGGTCCATTTCGTGAATTACCCTTCAGTGTACTACGGGATCATAGCAAACTGTCTCACAAGTATCAACGACTTGGACTGAGGTCAAGTGCAACTGGCCCCGAGTCCGGAGACAACCCAATACAGGTGCCCATGTGACCGTCATGTGACCGTCATGTGACCCATGTGGCTCTGGTGGTGGCCTGGGACATGTGGAGAGGTGAGACATTTGACCATCAACAAGGATGTTGAAATTCTATGGATGTCTATGGATGTCCATTGATCCATTGGTGCAACGCTATTGCCCGAACCGAAGCCTAGCCCCTGCAGGGTGAGCAAGGCAGGCGTAGTGCCTTCGAGTGGTCGGGTCCCCTGTAGCCCCCTCCTGTTATCGGTCTTTGGTGGGTGAAGCAGACGAGGAAGAGAGGACCATGGGAATCATGGGAATTGGAACAGAATGGAATAGAGTCAGTGTAGAGCTCTATCCAACCAACTGCATCCAAATCGCCAATTTATTGAAGCCCAGCCTCATCGTTGAGCAAGGTCTGCGCACAAGTTCGCGGCCATAGTATTTCAGAAACACCTCAAGTTGGAGGCTGAGGTTGGGCCAAGCGGCGCATGCCTTGCTGGGTTGGTGAGGTCTAATTGTCAGGTGGGAAAAAGGGACCGTCAGAAATGTGACAAAATGCATCAAATTCCCACACCATTTCTTCGAATTAGTTGATGTGGATCCTGCCGCAGATTCCCTGGAATTGCCTTGGTTTGTGGGGAATTGCTGTGAGCGAAAACCTTCCTTTGAAGTGGCCACCTTCCCAGTCCAAAAGCGTTGCGTAGCTCTACTTGTAATTCCTTGACGTTGCTAAGCGCAGCTCACTGCAAAAGCTGACGCTTTTGATTTTTGCTCATTTGAGTGATTTGAGTGCAGGCGGCTGCATCTGTGGGCAGAAGACGCAAATGCCTCAGCTTTTGATGATCACGCCATGGTGTTCCTGAGTTCCTGTTGCATCTCGAGACTTTTGACAGTTTGTAACAGAGTTGGTCGTTTTGATGACGTACTGTAGGAACCTTTAAATGCTTTCGTAATGCATTGAACACTTGCTGCTATGAGGGAAGACCTTGCTGCTGTTGTAGGATAGGGTATGGATATGTACTGTAACCGATGTAACATGATCCTCAACCCTCCGAGATTGTGACCTTGGAGGGAGACACTGCATCGGATCTCAAGATGTGTTCACAGTCAGCGTGACAGCATGATCTGTTCATATCTCTTTGCTCTGAGGTGTTGCACCCAAGCCGTTCGGCCGCGGCGCTGCGGCAGAAACGGTGGACATGGAATCAGAGGACTGAAATTTTTGAAAACAAACGCACGGTGACAACGTGAATGAAGTCATATGAGTCATGTCATGGTTGCTTTTGTGAAGCTCCTGTGGGACAATCTTCTGGGCACTAATTAGTAGATGCTTCGATGTCAAGAAACCGGGAGTTGGAGTTGATGGGGACCAGAACATGAAGCAATTGTAGGTGCATCAGCTGCATCAGTATGCTTCCGTTAAAAAAAGTGTTCTCTGAGTGACGTCACAGTGACGTCACAGTGACGTCTTGGGGACTGGAAGCTACAGCAATCGACCCAGGAGAGTGCCGACATCACAACCATAGCTTCGCCGGAGCTTGCACGGATGCTTAGGAAATGGCTGCGTTGTGATGGTTTGTGCTCAAGGCTCACCACAATTATGTGGCATTATTGCATTATGAGTCAATTATGAGGCTATGTTGGCAGAAACACCGGTTACAAACTTTGTGGTTGTTTTCAAGTGACTCAGTGCATTTCCTCTAAGCCAAGCCCTTTGCGATTCGCAGAAGAAGGTGGCAATAGTTGCCAAATTCAGGAGTTCTTCTACTTGGAAAGAGTCTTTACACAATTCACAATATATTTGATGATGAGTTTGATGCCTTGGACTCCTTCCTAGCGAGGCCATTGGGTTTCATCTGCTTTTTACTGGGAAAATAATCTAGGTGGCATTTTCCCATTGTCAGCTTAGAGAGACCAAAGGGATGCAAAGGGTATGTTGATGGAGCAAGCAGGGCCATCCATGGGCTGTGAGGTGGAAGACATCGACGAAGCAAGGGAATCCCAGAGCAAGAGTGGCGGATGAATGTCGAGCCAAAGATGGCTTTTTCCTTCTGACACCTTCACACTTTTCCTAAATGTGATGGTCCCCGGGCCCCTAAAACGCTTTTCGATAACGAATGTT